ATTGCAAACATGGATTCAAAGCTCCAGCAAGCCAGCAGGTAAATCATCATATAGAATATTTAGCAGTTTGTCACACTTTAATTATTGTAATTAAGTATATTTCCCATTATAATCACTTGTCTTGATACTAGTAATCTATAATACATCATATTTTATTAAAACCATATTAATAGTAGACCTATAAATAGTTAAAAAATAATATAAATGTTCTAAACGAGTTGTTTATTAGTATATAATATAGATTTATGCTGTAAACTATTAAATTAAATGTCTAATACTTATAGGGGAGAGTGTTTTTTACTTTTGTGGTCCTCAGGATAAGTTAAAATTATGCTGAAGTACAACGAAAGTATCCTATCCTATCCTATCGAAAGTACTCCTATCATTTTAAATGATCAGAATGTATCTATGACAAGCGTTCTAAAAATATGGCTTCTTATAAAAAAGTGTTCCCATGGCTCAGTTTGCCCCGGGTTAGGGGTAAGTTGACCCAAGTTGAATCTGGGTGTAAAATGATCATCTGACCAAATCTGATTCAAACCCATGTGAAATAAGTAATAATTAAAAATACATTAAAACACCAGTTTATAATTCAGAGATTTAACTTAACTACAGTGCCTTATGGTGGGGTAAGTTAACATGCTGACTCAGTTTACCCCACAGCATTTGGCTTACTTTGCCCCATAGCTGCCATTTTGGAGGAAATAGCTATTGTTGCTTACCAGTTCAGGCTAATATTTAGGTTTTTAAAGTAAATGGGTGCCTTCCATTCCCCCCATGTGTTCCTCCTTCATACAGTCTGGCAGAAATGATGGATGGTTCCAAAATACATGGTCACCTGAGAGTAAACGTGTACAGTTGCCAAGAAACGGGGTGGGTCAACTTAGCCACTGGCTCAACTTACCCCACTCTCCCCTACTTCCATTGAAAATGAGGCAGAAGCAGGCTCAGAGAGTGAGGGAGAGCCCATTCTTATCAAAACACTTGCAATAAAATCTGAAATTATTACAGAGTGTGCTGTCTTCTCTATTAATTTTAGATTTGTAACAGCTGGATAATTTGTATTAACAAGCACCCATCCCCCTAGTGCCGCTTTTTTGGTTTGGGCCACTGCCCCTCAAAATGTCTGTGCACGGCCCTGCTTCTGTCAAAACATGTATTACTGTAAAGTTGTGCTTGTAATTTTTATTGCTGTAGGGTTTAAAGTCTACATTGCAGAATTAAATATAACTTTACAAATATGCTTTTTTTACACTAAAATCATGCCTGCACTATTGAAACAGTGAGTTGTTGTTTTTTACAGTTATGGATAGGCCTCGTTTATAAGTGCCTTACTGTAACCCATAAGAAGTTGTGTGTGGTAATCAACATTATGCCACAAGTGCTGTCAACTGAGTTTAACTTGTACTGAACCTGTATATTACTTTAACTGCAAAAAAAAAGTTTATGAATGAAAGGATTATTTTCTGTTGCACAAATACCAAAATGTTGTTGTGAAGAGTCTTTATACTGGGCATTGCTGAAAAGTTGAAACATGGGGATCAGTCCTTTAGAAACACAGGATGTTACATGAGCATATATGAAGAATATTACAATCCCAGGAAGACTTTGAGTGCAATACATTCATATTACAAAAGGAATCAGTGACATCGTAATCTCAAAATTCATGATCTAGAATGGATAGCAATTTCAGTTTCGTTCACTGATGATATGATACATGATATAAGGCACTAGTAAAGAAATATATTTACATGAGCAACCAGTTAACATCATGTGCAAAGCAACATTGTATTCATACGATTTATCATGCATTATTGCTTACTATGAACAAACAACAGACACATACGGTACTAAACTGTGCAACACTTTGCCTGTTTTATAACTTCTCACAACGGTTTCATAAATACACGATCAGCTTATGTAATGGAGTGCTTGAAAATATATTTCCCTGCTTTGAATATATACCACTTCATTTATAAGGTGGTATTAAAGGAACATGTCAGAAATGCACATACACTTGCGCTTCTTGCTTAGGCAACAGTGTAATTACATGTGTGAGTACACGCAGCAGACAGTCAGCGGTGATATGATGGAACATCTATGATCTATCTAGCATAGAAACCGCATGTGTGGATATCAGGGATGTGGAGGGAATGATATGAGCCGTATGAACGGAGTGCCACATTTGAAGAATCATGACATGAGGTGCAAAACTGACAAAGTATCAACGTCAGCAGCATCCATGACCGCAAGATAGAGCAGACAGGGGTAATTGTGATATTTTTTTTACACTTTTCTTCTGCAAAATGCTGCAAATCTACCTGCCATTTTCATATAAGAAACATCTGATTTACAAAATGACCAAATTACAGTCTAAGAGCTCAGTTCAAAGTAACAGCACTTCTTAATAAAAGTTATCCTATTTTTCCTATTATTCACTTATTATTCAACATCAGAGTAAGCTATTTCCTGTGACTGTGCGATTCATTGGCCACTATAGGTAAATTACTAGAAGAATAACAAAGTGGAGTATAAGTGACAAACTCAAAGTGTTTAGGATTAAGATGACTTGAAATAATATGATAACAAAAACCAGTTTGCAGCAAGACTGTTTTTGTACAGCTAAAATATCTGGAAGCTACTGACACCGGAAGCCTTGCAGGTTAAAAATGGCTGCGCCTACTCTTACGCTAAAAATAAGGTGGATGTTAATTCTATTATCGTTACTAAATCTATTGTTGTCCATGTTATTTTATTTAAACAATATTTATTAGTTGAACAGGAAGTTGAATTCAGCAGCTAGTGGTTAACTTTTTATTTTTGAAGAAATAATGTTCAATGTCTATTTATTTAAAAAGCCATTCAATTCCTGTTTCTTACACTCTAAAAAAATGCTGGGTTAAATACAACCCAGCACTGGGTCAAATATGGACAAATGCCGAGACTGGGTTGTTTTGACCCAGCCGTTGGGTTACTACCCAGAAGGTTGAGTTAAACATTTAATCAAACCACTGGGTCAAAACACCCCAGTTGTTGGGCTTGTCCATATTTTACCCAGCGCTGGGTTGTATTTAACCCAGCATTTTTTAGAGTGTAACTCACAGCCATAACAAATTTGGTAACTGCCAGTGGCAGTGTTAGAATTCATTCATGTTAGCTTAGTCAACAACTTGGCCTGCTTTGAATTCATAAAAACTTCATAAAATATTGTATGTCCAAAGAAGTCAGTTAAATAGAGAAAGCAGATAGAGAAAGAGCTTTTCTGAGTGTATGTGGAATAAGTGTCACTTTGGTTTATTTGTGAAAGTTGTTTCTGGCGTCCCCTACCCTGCGGTCTTTCATATAGATCATTACAGTTTAATAATAAAAACTTTGCTTGTTCTGCATGATACATTCATGCTATTGATTACTCGAATGTGTAAGTAAATGTTTGTATCACAGCTCATATCAGGTCTAATGACTGGGCAGCAGCCAACATGAAAACCATGTGTAAAACACATGATTAAAGCCGTGCAATTTATATTGACATGATCATATTAACACACTGTCTATGCCAAATATGAAATGATGGACCAAACATAATGATTTATAATTCATAAATGAATTGGTTCTGTGTTTCTGCAATATCTGACACAATTTATGTAATGTAATTGAAAAATATGACTGTATCACTGTATTGTAAAAGTTTATATAAACTGTATTGTAGGCAAAAATGAAATTGATGACTCAAATGAATCAGCGATTTAATTCATTTAAACAAACTGTCCATTTAAATGAATCAATGTCAGCCATTACTGCTCTGTCTGTCCTATTTTTAAACAGTAGTAATGTCCAATTTAGATGCAGAGAACAGGTGATACATCAAAACTAGCTTGTAAATGAAATGAAAGAGTGAAAATAATGACAATGTGAAGAAATTATTATGAAGCATCTTGCTTTCACATGGAAAACCTCAAAGCAGCAGAGTTTTTTGATGCACAGAAACGACAAAATGATTTACTGGACGTTGGACATTCATTTGACATGATGCAGATATTCATACAGTATGCATGTAAAGTCAGGATTTCAGAAATTGAAATGGATACATGTGTGCTCATGAACAAACCTTAACGAAATAATTACTTATTTAAATAGGGACATTATATATAATATACACATTTCATCTAGGAAAATCTACTGTCGTACAATCATCTCTCAAGTATCATCATTAGCATATAAACTCTATCACATTGCAACTTCCCACATTTTAGCTAATAAAATCTATTTATAGATTTCAATTATTAGCCCTATATATCTCTATCATTAGAAAGCAGGGAAAATACATTTCAATCTCTTATTTATTCTGTTGTGGGGCATGTTGGGATGAGTGTTTACTTGCCAGCTTTACATTATTGTAATGACTTTTTGGATTGAATGATTGCCCAAAACCAGAATGGAAAAAGTCAGGACAACTCACATCCGACAATAATGTGGGGAAACGTGACATGCTGTATGCTCGAGCTGTTTCCAGAAATAAGGCTTGTGAACTGTTTGACGTAACTCAATACAGTGAGGTAAACGCATAGTGAAACAGCCAATCAGGACAGTGAGGTAGATGCTTTCAGTGATGGGTGATTATGAAACTATATCAATAATCATAAAAGAAATAAAGACACAAACCTGCAGCAACCTTTGCGTTTCAGTGTTTGTACTGCATAAACAATTACAGGAGGAAATCATGACAGAATTTCTACATGTATACACATTTCCTTTTCACTGTAGGCAAAATAGAGTGGAAAAAAGAAAGAAAATTGAAAATGATTTAGCAAAATTTTAAAAAGCTAGAAAAATAACCTTTCACCAGTTTAACCGATTCCATTTTTATATAAAACCTATGATACTTAAAAAAATAAAAAATATTTAACAATGTTAACCTCAACAGTCAAGTAATTTGTTGTCATTGATAGTTGTTCCCACTTAAAATGACTACTGAGTTTGTTGAAAAATAAAAAATTAATTAACATAATAATCAAGATTTATTCCATGCCCAGCTTTCCATGCATGCCATAATATGTTTTGGTTATAGCACATGATCTGTAACGTTTAAACATGACACTGCTGGTCTGAAGACACATATTCACGTGTACATACTCACACACACCTGTCCCAGTAGCATGTTGTTGTTTTAGGGGCAGATAAACATCAAGATGCATCTCACAAATTGTTTGTGCATGTACTCTGTGATTTCAAGTAAATAGTTTCTACCTCAGCGCACTTCAAAACATCTTCTTTATCTTCACCACGTTGTCCTATTTCCTCATGGTTAGATTCCACATTTGACAATATGATTCCTTTTGAGACACTGTGCATCATTCCTTTGATAGGAACAAGTGAATGCGGTTTAAATGAAGTTTGTTTTGTCCCACGTAGTCCATTTTAATGACTGTACCTGTAAACAAAGAGAGAACAGAAATCTTACCCATTGCATATTAAAAGATGTTAAAAGTTGTTATTTTATTGTGTATGTTAGCACGACTGGAACATCCAGAAGCCACGACCAGAGCTACTGATTTTAGAGTACATTAGATAAACAGGCTGTATAGAAAGAGTTCTTGAATGAGATTCATACATTATGAATTCATACAAATTCATACATTAAGACATGGTTTCCCATGTAGACTTTCTTTCTGTGTTGTTTGTGTACACTAGGGGGCGGTTCCCATACTGTAAAATAAAACAGCAACTATTTCAGCTGGTATCAGGGTGTGGTCTGTTTTTTGTTTATTTGTTTTCCATGGATGTTTCAGCAGCAGAAGAATTATTATTTTTTTGTTTACCTGCATGCCATGTGACCATTAACTGAAATCAGAGAACCATTAACATGCAAATGTGTTTTTAATGTCAAAGCGGTTTGGCTGATAAAAAAGTTTAGGAATCCCTGCATTAAGACATAATTGTTAGTTAAATTGTATTATTATACATAATGATATTATTTGTTATGCTGCCATTAATGGTAAAAAACACTCAACAAAATTATATTGTCTTTTTTAGAGTGGGAAACAGCTCACAGTAACACAACTTTTAGAGGTCAAATGGGACCTGAACATGTTTTAATCCATATTGGATATGCATGATAAAGTTGCAGAGCATAACAGCAACCAGAATTGGGCAATGAAGAATAGAAAATGTTCATTTTTCAGCTAAAGATGTTTTCTGCATCTATAAATACCAATATGATTACTACAAACCCATATATAAACCTCATAAATATTAACAGCCAGTGATCAACGTAATTTAGATGGACAACTGTTCTACACTGCACAACTGCCACTGAGCAGTCAGTCTGTCACAGCAGCGTGGCATAGCACACAATATTCAAATGCAGGTGGTAGTGCAGCTTGAATAGAAAAACATCTCAATAAATAAATAATGTATAATGTATAAATAAATAATAACATGTTAAACCTAAATCTTCTGCAAGATTTTTACAAAAATGTAAACACTTAGCCACATTTGATTATAGTCAAATATATAATGTTACTACTAACTGTACACTTTCAGCAACAGCAGCACTGATTGTGAAACTACTGGCAGTAACAGCACCGGCAGTAATAAAACCATCAACAGTAACACCACCATTGAACAGCAACACCATCAACAGTAACACCATCACTAACAGTAATGTCATTGTCATTGATGCCATCGACAGTAGCCACTGGTAGTAACACCATTGACATTAACACTACTGACCATAACAGTACTGACAGTATCACCATCCGGTACCACCAGTAATACCACAAACAGCACCATTACCGGTAGTAAAACCACCATCGACAGTAACACCACTGACAATGACACCATTAACAGAAACACCACTGACAGTAACACCATCAGCCGTAACAGCATCAACAGAACCACCATCAGTAGTAATGCCATCATTGACAGTAACACCATCAACTGAAACACCACTGACTGTGACACCACCAGCAGTAACACCATCAACAGTAACAGCACTGTTAGTAACATCATTGACAGTTTCACCATCCGCAGTAATGGTACCACCAGTAATACCATAGACAGCACCATTACCGGTAGTAAAACCACCATCGACAGTAACGCCACTGACAGTGACACCACCAACAGTAACAGCATAAACAGAACCACCATTGGTAGTAATGATACCACTGACAGTAACACCCTCAACTTAAACGCCACTGACAGTGACACCACCAGCAGTAACACCATCAACAGTAACACCACTGACAGTGACAACATCGACTGTAACAGCACTGGCAGTAACGTCATTGACAGTAACACCACCAGCAGTAACACCATCAACAGTAACACCACTGACAGTGACACCATCGACTGTAACAGCACTGGCAGTAACGTCATTGACAGTAACACCACCAGCAGTAACACCATCAACAGTAACACCACTGACAGTGACACCATCGACTGTAACAGCACTGGCAGTAACGTCATTGACAGTAACACCACCAGCAGTAACGGCACCACCAGTAACACCATCGACAGAACCACCATTGGTAATAATGCCACCACTGAAAGTAACACCATCAACTGAAACGCCACTGACAGTGACACCACCAGCAGTAACACCATCGACAGTGACACCATCAACAGTAACAGCAATGGCAGTAACATCATTGACAGTATTACCATCAGCAGTAATGGCACCACCAGTAACACCATCAACAGAAACTCCACTGACAGTGACACTAGCAACAGTAACACTACTGACAGTAAGAGCACTGAAAGTAACACCACCAGTTGTAATGGTACCACCACTAACACCAATAACACCGCCAACATCGACAGTAAGACATTGATAGTAACACCACTGACTGTATCGTAATAAACAACAACATCCAAATTGGCCGTTTAAAAATTATAATATTTCAAACGAAATTGTAGCATGTAGATATTACTCAGTTTTTAGATGTTACCCCAGGTTTTTATAATCCACTACTGTCACCTGATGGAGTTTTGCTTCTTTGTCACTGTCACCTTTGGCTTGCTTAGTTGGGGTTTAACATAATATTCACTTAAAAGACATGTAATATTGCCAATTTAACTACACTGACATTGTCAGATAAGAATAGAATTAATAATTCTAAACTGACTTAATCTGGAAAATGACACTAACTTTGCAGCAACATAAACATCATGACACTGATTGGCTAATGGCACTCCATCCTTTTGGTGCTATTGTATTGCGGTAACACTACTGATATTAAAAATAGTTGACAATTGTTTATTACTCTAAATTGTTAAATACAATTTTATTTATTTAACTTTTTAGTTATGTTGTATAAATAATCTTTGTCAGAAACTGAAATTATACAATTATACAACAGGCTTTTTTGCTTCTTTATTACTTTTTTAAACTGTAAATTGTCTCTGATTATGAAGTACTGACATATTTTAATACTCCAAAACATAAATTAAATTAAATTAAATATTTCAAAGAATAATTACATATATTAATTAAGTAAAAAGTCATATAGTTTTGGAATTACATAAGAATGAGTAAATAATGACAGAATTTTCATTTTTGGGGTGAACTATCCCTTTAAGCAGTTTAGCTGAATCAGTTTAAAAATTTGAATCATTCAGAGGAAACCCTAACTAGACTGTCTTAGGAATATCAACACCGTGCTGCCGTGCAACCATGTAAATATCATCCCTGTGAAAGCCAGAGCTAAAGCCGTGCTGTTTCATTTTCACTGCACCAACAACTGCAGCAAGCCACAAAGTCACACTGACCTATTCAACACCTGTGAGCTGTAACACAAGCCAATAGCACGAGTGCCACACATGACAACAGCATTATGCAGTCGCTCTTATTGTGTCTTGCTTGCCATATTTTCCAGCAGAAAAAAAAACCCGTGCTTGTCAGTGCGTATTCAGATCCTTAGACAGAGTATTAAGGGACAATATTCCTGGGTCACGAGGAGGTATATGAGAGTCACATGATGGCCACTGATCAACTGTAAGTGCCAAAGGTTCCTGGATTATGAAAGTATCCACAGCTTGAAATAACATGACCTTTGCTGAAGTGAACATGGCAGTCATGTGTGTGTGTGTGTGTGTAAAATCTATAACACACAATACAATATGACGTCGGGGGTCTTTATACATCAGTCTTATTTCTGCTTTTTTTTTTTTTCATGTGACCAGACCAGCATTCCCTCATAAAACAATAAACACACATGATCAATGCAACACAACAATGTTAAAGTGGGTCAGGAAATACCCCCACCAGTGGCGGCTGGTGAAAAATATTTGAGGTGGGGCTGTGGCACATTGGCACATCAAACAATTACAGCAAGCGTTGCAATATTTTTCACAGATGATTTTCTAATATATCACATCATACAAATATACATTTTAATAATTTAAATAATTTATATAATTATTATTTTGTGTGTGTGGTTCAGGGAGGGCGACGCCCTAGCAAGCCGCCACTGACCCCCACTCTCTCCTCATGTAACCTGGCACAGCAGTCCCACGGCTGCCGTGGACTGACCCTGGGTTAAGAATATGCATCTAATATAAGATCTATTTATTAATCAACATTATTTATGCTGTGCACTGCTGTTTATGGAACTAGTTTAAGGATTCTGTAATTGGATTGATGAGAATGTATATTTGGTTGTTCCCCAATGAATTCAGTGACTGTTTATGATAACTGGATGCCACATTAACCTTGCATATCAGACAGGTTTCAGCTATTACAGTTATATATATTACATATTCAAGATGCAATTTTAGCTATTTATTCTGCATTATCTTACTATACATTGTAACATAATATAGTAACAGTTCCTCTGAATTTGTTACTCTGAAACAGTTACCTCAAAGAACAACTATTAAATGTAAATTTTATTTTGAAGAACAGTCACTGTTCAATATTATATTGTAGTAATTTATTTATAGATAATGTGGTAAACATAAATAATGCCTTAAACTTTATTTTACACTGGCTCAATTGAATTATAAATTCTGGCTTTACCAGCAAACACTAAATCTACAGAAAGGATATTGACAAAGTGATAAATCAGACACATACCGCCCCCTAGTGTACACAAACAACACAGAAAGAAAGTCTACAATTGTAACTTGTAGTGTTGTTTTAGAATTAAATATTCTAGTTTTGTAATCTGCATACCGCAAGTCTTATCTCATACACTTTTACTCTTTAAACTACTATATTTATAGACATAGACATAGTCATATTGCTGTGTAACTTAATTAAATCATGTGCTTGTTCCCTACATGAAAACAGGAATTAATAATAGTGTACATTATATTTCTTAAACTTAATACCCTGCAAACCATTACATGAAAAAATTTTTAAATGGTATTTCCTCTTTGTGTGTGTGTGTGTGTGTGTGTGTGTGTGTGTGTGTGTGTGTGTGTGTGTATTTAAATATATATATATATATATATATATATATGTGTGTGTGTGTGTGTGTGTGTGTATATGTATATATGTATATATATATATATATATATCAATTTCAATTTCAATTTATGATTCTACTAAAATTTTTTGGACAAATATTTTAGGATTTATTAGGAGTGAAATTTATGATTAGTGTGCATTGTATTGGAAGAATGTGGTGCCGAGCTCTGTTGATTATGTTTTATCTAAAAAATGACACTTTTATGTAACAAGTCTGATCCTGTTCCTTTCCACATTTCATTCCACAGAACCAAATATTCAAATTCTGAAAGACAATATCTCATATCATTTAAACTGTCCATGAACAAAAAATGTAAAAAAAAAATATATAAAAATTAAAATATCTACTATCTTCACTTTGTGTGTGTGTGTGTACTTGTTTATGCTACATTGTGGAGACTTAATGTCCCCACAAGTATAGTAAAACCTGATATTTTTGACATTGCGGGGACCGGCCTGCAGTCCCCACAAGGGAAAAAAATGATTACAAATAGTAAATGATGTTTATCTGAAAGTAGAACAATGTAAACAGGTTTTCTGTAAGGGGTAGGTTTAGGGTTAGGTTTGTTTGGGGTTGGGTTAGGGGATAGAAAATATCGTTTGGTCAGTATAAAAGTAATAGAAGTCTATGGAAAGTCCCCACAATTCACAGAAACTAACGTGTGTGTGGGTGTGTGTGCGCGCACACGCGCGTTTTTGTGACATATGAGGACACAGATTTGTATAATGTCATGGGTATGACATAGGTATTACAAGGAGAAGGTGACTTATGAGGACACTACCCCGCGTCCCCATATTTCAAAACGCTTATAAATCATACAGAGTGAGTTTTTTGAGAAAGTAAAAATGCACAAAGTTTCCTGTGAGGGGTAGGTTTAGGTGTAGGGTTGGTGTAGGGCAATAGCACATACAGTTTGTACAGTATAAAAACCATTACGCCTATGGAATGTCCCCACAATTCACAAAAACAAACATGTGTGTGTGTGTGTGTGTGTGTGTTATTGACGTAATTCTCAAAACTTGTCAATATTTCCAGTTTATACTGTTTGCAATTATATTGTTTGCATATAGGCCTAAAAGTATTATGTTCATATATATTATTATTAGAAACAGAACATAATATAAATATTTCTCACAAATAGCTTATTCTAAGTTAGCCTAGTTTACAACACATACACAGTTATGTTTTCAGGGTTGTGCAGTTTACATACCTCTTCCTGTCTGAACGATGATGTGAATGATGTTGTGTGTTCGCAAATCTGTTTAGTTATTTCCATTTTCAGTTAGTCCATTACTGACATTGCAGGCATTGATTATCCTAGTGCAGCCAATAGGCAGATGAGATTTTCCTTTCTCACAGTGACGTCATAATGAATCCCTTTTTGTGCTGAATTCATGATCCCCTCTCAACGCTGTTGCAGTGCAGAAATTAAGATGTTTCTCCATTATTATGGATGTGGACTATATGGTGTTATATTGTTACTTTGTATTCACATTTGATATATTGGATAAGCCTCTGGGCTCTTTTAGTTTAACTAGGCCTAATAAGAATGTAAACCTGCCTACCTGAGGGTTGATGATTTTTTCATTTAACTGAATATATGAATGTACCTTGTTTTAAAATAAAAGCACCAGAAGCCATCTTTCATGTGAATAAATGAAGGGAACAATAATAGCCCAATGTCACCAGAACCGTCTGGAAAGTTGCTATGGAAACACATGTAGTATCTTAAAGACTTGCAGTTTCCACCTTTGTCCACTTGATAACGCTACTGTATTTTAAAAAGAATTCGTGTCCAGATTTGAGCGCACATTGTTGAAATCGAGCCTCTCCTCATTCATCCCCTACACATCTGTTGATAATATGAAGAAATGAAGAAGCTTCGTGTTGCTTATCAGTGTAAGTCTATCCCTGAAGTGCTTCCACATAGTTTGAATAATGTTATCAAGTAATTTTAAGATGCCATAACCTTTCAATGCTAATGCAGTGACAACCTGAACATGCAGTGTGTTCCTAAAATTAACAATCACAAAGCTGGTTTGCTGTTCTACTGATCGTCCTCAAAAAAGCACGGAGATATGTATTTCTCAAATTTCCAAATTTAACGTTACACATTATTGCAACAATATTTTAAATAAACTGGGGCAAGTCGTTTTTTTCCCAAATGACCTTGCAGTTGAACTGCCCTCGCTAGAAAAAAAAAAAAAAAAAAAAGTTACATATTGGTCCTACCATTTCTTTCAAATTAGCAATTTGTATGTAAACGTCTGTATCGCAGACACCAAATTTCTGGAAAACTAACAGATCACGCGCCAAAGAATTTGTGGACTAGCTAAATTTAGTATACGAATAAAGTGCTACACATGGATTTAATCGGGCTTGCTTATATATAACATACGTTCTATTTAATTCTCTTTTTATTTTTGGGCCTATATGACTACGTCTCGCGCTTCGATGATCTACAATCGCAACAATGGAAGACAGTTTAGAAAACAATCGCACATCACGTCATAGTAAAATCCACTGTCGTCGTTTCCAAATGAAGTGTTCCTCACATATCTACTCAAGCCAGCGCGAGGGATGAGGATGAAAGGTGAAAGGTTTAATTTACTCACAGAGAAAGGTGCGCTTCTTTGGGTTTATAATTGTTGACGTTCTATATTCATACATCAGTAAGGTTCCCTGTGTATGCTTTATGGGGGCTGCAGTTGGTGTACTTGACTGAATCTCCATCCTCTGAATCCAAATAGTCTGATTTAGAAAGGGACGCTTTGCTGTCACTCCTTTTAAATTCACCAAACGAGGGTTGCTGCTGGCCACACGTTACATGCGTGTACTGCATCTGCTCCTCGTGCTCAGTCTCCCTGTGATAGAAGTAATTGAAATTGGACACGATGACGGGCACTGGAAGCGCAATGGTGAGCACACCAGCGATGGCACATAAAGAGCCCACTATTTTGCCACCGATGGTGACTGGGCACATGTCCCCGTAGCCCACAGTTGTCATGGAAACCACTGCCCACCAGAAGGCATCGGGGATGCTGCTGAACCCCGAGTCGGGGTCGTCTGTCTCGGCGAAATACACGGCGCTGGAGAACAGTATTACTCCAATGAAAAGGAAGAATATGAGGAGACCCAGCTCTCGCATGCTCGCTTGCAGGGTCTTGCCCAAGATCTGAAGCCCCTTCGAGTGTCTGGACAGCTTGAATATGCGGAACACCCGCACCAAACGAATGACCCTCAGGATGGCCAGAGACATCGCCTGCTGGCTGTTGCCCTGATGCTCGGCCAACTCCAGACCCAAGGTGATGAAGTAGGGAATAATAGCCACGATGTCAATTGTGTTCATGATATTCTTGAAGAAGGCGGGCTTGCTTGGGCACGCGAGAAACCTCACGAGCAATTCAAAGGAGAACCAGATTATACAAAGGGTCTCCACGATAAAGAAGGGGTCTGTGAATGGATTGGGCTTCTTTGAACTAGCAGTTCCATTGAATGCGAGGTGCTCCTCGTACATTTTCCCGTCCTCCCTAAACTCTGGTAAAGTCTCCAAGCAAAAGATTACAATTGATATCAAAATGACGAGCACCGAGACGATTGCGATGCCCCTCGCGGGTCCAGAGCTCTCGGGGTACTCAAACAGCAGCCAGACCTGTCTCTGAAACTCGTTTTCGGGCAAAGGTCGCTCTTCCTCCTTGATGAAACCCTCGTCCTCCTTAAAATTCTCAATGACTTCTTCTCCTAGCTCGTAGAATTTAATCTCCTCCATAAAGATGTCCACAGGAACATTGACGGGTCTCCTCAGCCTGCCTCCAGACTGATAGTAGTAGAGGATGGCATCAAAGCTCGGTCGGTTCCTGTCAAAGAAGTACTCGTTCCTCAGAGGGTCGAAGAAGCGCATTCTTTTCCTGGGGTCACCAAGTAAGGTGGCAGGGAACTGAGCCAGTGTTTTTAATTGGGTTTCGAAGCGCAAGCCGGAGATGTTGATAACCACCCGCTCGCAGCACTCCTGGTCTGCCCGTTCAGGGTCGTAAACATCTTGGGACAGGGCTGCCAATGCCACAGTCTCGTCGAGGTTCTCCCCGGGCACCACAGTCATGTTTGTCCCCTCAAAAGGGCTAGTCGTTTTCACGCCCCACTTCTCGCGCTGTTCGTGGAAGATAGTAAGAGCACTTGTAGAGCGGCGCGTGTCGCGTCACTTCGCGCGCATTTTCCTCAAGGAGGTTTCTCCACATTCCCTCCCCAAGCAGAGGCTGGCAGTCTGGTCGATTGGCTGTCACATTCACAGCATTTTAAGCAGCAATGCCCTCCCTCACTCTCTCGCTTTCTCCAAGCGCTATGGCAAGCCGTAGTAACATTTATTCCTAACAAAATGTTACAGGTGCTTTTTCATGAGTCTAATATTCTAGTATTCTAAGTATTCCAATTAAGATTATGTAGTTTTCAATTTCACTAGTAGCTGCGGCTGAACCCCGAGTCGGGGTCGTCTGTCTCGGCGAAATACACGGCGCTGGAGAACAGTATTACTCCAATGAAAAGGAAGAATATGAGGAGACCCAGCTCTCGCATGCTCGCTTGCAGGGTCTTGCCCAAGATCTGAAGCCCCTTCGAGTGTCTGGACAGCTTGAATATGCGGAACACCCGCACCAAACGAATGACCCTCAGGATGGCCAGAGACATCGCCTGCTGGCTGTTGCCCTGATGCTCGGCCAACTCCAGACCCAAGGTGATGAAGTAGGGAATAATAGCCACGATGTCAATTGTGTTCATGATATTCTTGAAGAAGGCGGGCTTGCTTGGGCACGCGAGAAACCTCACGAGCAATTCAAAGGAGAACCAGATTATACAAAGGGTCTCCACGATAAAGAAGGGGTCTGTGAATGGATTGGGCTTCTTTGAACTAGCAGTTCCATTGAATGCGAGGTGCTCCTCGTACATTTTCCCGTCCTCCCTAAACTCTGGTAAAGTCTCCAAGCAAAAGATTACAATTGATATCAAAATGACGAGCACCGAGACGATTGCGATGCCCCTTGCGGGTCCAGAGCTCTCTGGGTACTCGAACAGCAGCCAGACCTGCCTCTGAAACTCGTTTTCGGGCAAAGGTCGCTCTTCCTCCTTGATGAAACCCTCGTCCTCCTTAAAATTCTCAATGACTTCTTCTCCTAACTCGTAGAATTTGATCTCCTCCATAAAGATGTCCACAGGAACATTGACGGGTCTCCTCAACCTGCCTCCAGACTGATAGTAGTAGAGAATGGCATCAAAACTCGGTCGGTTCCTGTCAAAGAAGTACTCGTTCCTCAGAGGGTCGAAGAAGCGCATTCTTTTCCTGGGGTCACCAAGTAAGGTGGCAGGGAACTGAGCCAGTGTTTTTAATTGGGTTTCGAAGCGCAAGCCGGAGATGTTGATAACCACCCGCTCGCAGCACTCCTGGTCTGCCCGTTCAGGGTCGTAAACATCTTGGGACAGGGCTGCCAATGCCACAGTCTCGTCGAGGTTCTCCCCGGGCACCACAGTCATGTTTGTCCCCTCAAAAGGGCTAGTCGTTTTCACGCCCCACTTCTCGCGCTGTTCGTGGAAGATAGTAAGAGCACTTGTAGAGCGGCGCGTGTCGCGTCACTTCGCGCGCATTTTCCTCAAGGAGGTTTCTCCACATTCCCTCCCCAAGCAGAGGCTGGCAGTCTGGTCGATTGGCTGTCACATTCACAGCATTTTAAGCAGCAATGCCCTCCCTCACTCTCTCGCTTTCTCCAAGCGCTATGGCAAGCCGTAGTAACATTTATTCCTAACAAAATGTTACAGGTGCTTTTTCATGAGTCTAATATTCTAGTATTCTAAGTATTCCAATTAAGATTATGTAGTTTTCAATTTCACTAGTAGCTTACTATTCCAGATGTGGATTAATTAATATTTTTGGAGTAGCTCCTCTTAAATTGACCTATAAATGTTTTAAATAAATAAATAAATGTCCCTTTTTAAAAAAAAAAAAAAAAGATAGGCTGCTCCAAAGACTTTTAAAAGGCGTTGGCATTTATGGTGCCATGTGTTCATTATTATGTTGTTGCATGCTGTGAATCAACAATAATTACCAGATATGCACATGAAAATGATCTAATAACAACTGCAAAACTCATTTAATCTGAAAAGGTTAACAGTACATTCTCTTAATTGTAAACACAAATAGTCACAATAATAAAAAAGGGTAAACCATTTAACTGGGAATTACGATACAAACACACATTATCTATATTTCATTCTTCGAAGGCTGAATTTAATGACATCACAGCGGCATGATTGCATCACAGCGGCATGAAGAAGGCTGTCCAATTTCAAAGGCTAGTTTAAATGCATCCATGAAATGCGTCCTTTGTTTCCCGGGCCACAACCAGTACAAATCAGGGCCGTAACCACAAGTCCCCCCCAATAATCAGATATGGCCAAAATGTCCCCCCCCCCAATATTTTATATTCCTGAAGCTCCTCTGCTGCACTGTGTTATGAACTGCTAAAATATGGTTACCATAAAAAAGTTATTTTTTTTAGCGTGGTCTGCCTCAGCTCTCTAACAGCGCTCGTCTATGTCAAAATGTTAGCCAATCAAATCAAAGAAGGCGGGCTTAACAGTTCGCAAAGAAGCAGCGCGTCGGTTTAACGGCTTCAGTTTTCAGCGGAGTGCGAGGTAAGATTATGCTAAGCAGTTAAACTTTAATATTTGACAGACATTTCACAAAAGCCTTTCAAGACCGACAGTAATATACAGGGATGCAAACATTTGCGTACATTTAACGTAATACAATGCGTTTAAGTATGCGATGTGATTAAACACTAACTGGGATGTTTTCATCCTCAGATAATTATTAGGCCAATATATAATTCACACGAGTGAATATACTGTATATACTGTGAATTAATTAACATGGGAGATTTATCATCCTCATACTTAGACCACAGTAAAACGTGTGTTTTTAGGCTGTGAATGACATCCATTATTTGCAACCTTTTTCTCTGTTTTTTGAACAATAAACCTCCAAGTGACTACAACCATTTTTATATTGATATGTCCATATCAGGTCTGTTCTGAAATTTAAAGGGATAGTTCTCCTAAAAATTAACATCCAGTTTTTTTATGAACATTTCGTTATAATTTAATTACCCTTTTGCAATTCCAAACCCAATTACTTTTTCTTTTCATAACAAAATGTTTTCCGCTCCAGTCTATTCAATAAAATAGTAGAATACAAGGGACAAATACGTTAAAGCATTAAAAAGGTGTACTAAAAGCACCATGTAATCCAAGTAGCCAGAGGTTTGTGCTGTATGTCCTGATTTTATTGCACAGCTGTGTAAATATTCTTCAGAATAGGCCTACTCATTTTGTGTTTATAAATCCTAACAACATACAGGTTTGTGAAAGTGCTTTCACAACGAAACACAGCGTCACACACAGCGGCCTAGAGTGAGCAGAGGCCGGGGGCTAGCGTGAGGAACAGCCGGAGGGCTAGAGTGAGCAGAGGCGGCGGGCTTGAGAACGGCGCGGCCGGCAGATTCGACGAAGGAGGCTTGCGGCAACCACATGTGACGACCCCGGGCTGGACTCCGCTTCGTCCACGTTGAAAGCCGATCCGGTGATCCACAGCGCAAAGTTGTTGTATTTCCTCAGCAACCAGCACGGATCAGCTCCAGGCATGACGAAGCAGATATCGTCCTCTTTTGGAAGGCCAAACAAAGTAGTTTCGCTTTCTCAACGAAACACACAGGCGCCTTCACGACATGGCGGCAACAACAATACTACAGCGAGAATAAAAGGTACGCCTTCTTTCTTTGCGTGAACATTTGGGTGGCGTTATGCAAATCTTCCCA